GGCCTTCTCTCATTGTGTGACATTAGACACTCAGGGGCTGTCTACACCCACTCGTTTGACAGTGATTATATACATTTATTGTTTTGCATTCTATGAGTCTATATAATATCTTTGCAAACATATTGCTAGCCTTAGGGATTAAGGACAGCATGTGTAATACATATTTGTATTTCTTACTCTATATATCCTATGTGTCTCTTGATTGATCTTGAAGCCAATAGGGTGTTTTGCTTTTTTTTTATAAGTCCGTTCTATTGAAATTTTATGCATATAGAAAGGCTTTTAGTCCTTTAACTCATTGCAAATCAGACCTAGGTCCAGTCTCTTCATTTTCAAGTAGACCCACTGGATGTGTTTAATTTGGAATGGAAAAAGGAATATTGCTTAGGGCATAGTTTCCAAAAATGTGTTCCTCTGTCAGATGTTAATAGATGTTATTTTTAGGGCTCCATAGTCAAACAGGTTTATGAAATGGAAGATTAAAATTAGGTAAAACCAGTTTCTTTATGGAAAGACTGCTCTGGAAACTTAATACACTAATGAGCATTTATAAACCCCTGAGAGAGTGATCAAGTATGTGGTTTCCTACCTACTTGACCATAAAAACCATGATTTTGAAGAGCAGCTCACATGGCTACTTTTCTGCAGAACACATTTTATGGAACCCTGATCTAGGAAACAAGACAAGAAAGGCTGTTAAGTAAATGTATACGCAAGACAAAGAGAGCTCAAAGGTGGCAGGAGTGATATTTGAAGCCCAGAAGTGGTATCAGTCAGGATATCTAGGTTCTTATGCTGCAGTGACAAAAAAACGCAATATATTAGTGATTTAAAACAGATGGTATTTATGTGTGTTCATGCCTAACGCTGGTCACGGGGCAGCTGCATGCACTGCCCTATGTTGGCTTCATTCAGACAGGCAGCAGGAAGAGCCTTCACAGAACCAGGATGTCCCCGCTTACCACGGTAGTGCAGAGTCACACACAGACTATTAAAAGTATCTACCCAGAGGTGACGCATTCAACTTCTGCTCACATTCCATTGGCCAAAGCATGTTACATGGCCACAGCCAACTGGAAGGGCACGGGAAGTATAATGCAACCATGTATCCGAGAGGAGAAAATCAGAATGCTCATGTGAATGTTACTGATGGCTACACGGAGGTTGAGGACAGCTGCCTCCCCCAACGTCATCTACCTTCCCACATCCAGTGACTCCTCATTGCAGGCCAGGGCCCTCACCCCAACTCAGGATAATTATGAGGGGCAACCCTAGTGTCACAGCCCTTTAGAGGCACTGATTGAGACCTTTATTAAGACGACATCATGGCCCAAACTTTCTTCTCATCCAGTCCTGCTTTCTTCACTTCCTTCCTGCAGGATGCTCCCAAAAGCACCATCTGACAAACCTCCTGCTTGATAATCTCTACCTCAGCAGCGCTTTATGGGGAACCGAGTGTGCTATATTATACAACATATAGTTATGTTGAATAATATAACATATTATTTTGTGTGTTATTAAACTTTATGTAAAAGGAATTGTACAATTTGCTTCCTTACCTTCAATTATGTTTTGGGGGTTTATTCATGTTGCTATATATAGCAACTGAATTTTGGAAAATATCACAAATTTACTTATCTATTCCCCTAATAATAAAAATTTGTTTTTTTCCAATTTTTTACAATTATAATTTTGCTGAGATTTCTTGTACATATCTACCTGTTCACATATGCAAAACTTCTCTAATATATGTGTATGTTTGTATATATGTGTGTGTATGTGTATATATGTATACATACATATATATAACCTAAAACAAGAATTGCAATAAAAATAGGGCATGTACACGCTTTACATTCTCAACTAGATGTGTTTCCCTGAATAGTAATAGAATTGAATATAAACGGCCATTTATTTTTCTTTTTCTGTGAATTGTCTATTCATCTCCTTGCCCATATTAATTTTTGCTATTGATTTATCTTTTTCAAATTGAGCTTTAAAAATGTATATTCCTCATAAAACTCTTTGTCAGATATATGGTTAGAAATATTTTTTCCTAGTCTGTAACTTGCTTTTTAAATTTCTTTATGATGTCTTTTTTTAATAAATAATTTAAGCCTCAAATTTTAATTCAGTCAAATTTATTCATCTTTTTTTCCTTTTATTGGCTATGTATTTTCTATGTTATTTAGATAATTTTTTTCCTACCCCAAGTCTTGAAACTATTCTGTATTTTTCTTGAAAAATTATAGTTTTTGCTTCTTACATTTGAATCATTAATTCATCTGAAATTTATTTTATTTTGTAATATATTATAGTAGACATAATTCTTTTTCATATGGTTTGGTCAGTTGTCGTATCACCATTTTTTAACCTAATATTATAAACTAATGCATAATGTCACTTTTGTGCATGTGTGTTGGGCCGTCTGTGCTGTTCATTGGGCTGTTTGTCTATATCTGCACTAACATCATTCTGATTTAATCACTATGGCCTTTTAATAAACCTTGATATCTGAAAAGTCAAGTACCTCTCCTCTATTTTTCTTTAAAATCACCTTGGCTATTTCCAATGTTTTACTTCCAGTGAACTTTAGAGTCAACCTTTCACCAAATAAAATTCTCTGCTGGGATTTTGGTTGGAATTCCATGAGATTTTGATATATTAATTTGGAGATAATTAATATCTTTATGATATTGAATATTTTCATTTATGACAATGGTGTGTCTCTAGAGAGATTCTTTTTACCATATACACGCCCAAGTTCCACTTTTTCAATATTGTGATATGCTCAAAGGAACAAGAAAGTGAAGGAAAAGCCTACACATATGCATTGCTCCTATTTTTTCTTTCAGTATAAATATATTAAGTTAGGCACAAAAATGATTTGAAATAAGTGCAGTGCTTTAAGAATGACTGATGCCACACTAAGGAAGCTAGGTAGCTTGATAATCTCAAATTATCAGAAAGGTTGGGAAAGCTAATGAAGGAGTACAATTATTAGAGTCAAGAGAGTTAGAAAAATGTCTTAAACTGTAGGTAAGAAAGACAAAGTGAAAAGACTGATCTTCACTACTAAGAGTCACAAAGGTTGGTAGACCAATATTCATTCATTCACTCATTCATTCAGTCTTAAACAAATATTCATTCAGCATCCATTTTTGTCCAGGCAATGTTCTAGCATTGGGGGAAGAGTAGGAAACCCAACAAAGCCTGCCGTTTGTGAATCTACTTAGGGAAGGGACTTCTTAAACACTTACTAAGTACTGAGAACCCAGTGTATCAAACTGTGAAATCACTCCTTCAGTTCTCCAGATGCTTATGAGAAGATTAACTATCATAAAAATCACTAGAGCAAAAATCAGAGTTCTGTGTCATGGTACAAACTATAAATATAATTAAAGCTCTGGGAAGAAAGATAATTGGAGAGTGATTGATAGATTTAACAGGTTTCCTAGAAAAACTGTGCCGTGCTGGAATTTGAAGACAAGTAGAATTTAGTAGGTAGAGAAGAGAGTGGAGGATGTTTTAGGTAGGGACAACAGCCTAACAAAACACAGTGAGATGAGACTCCATGAAGAGACAGAGAGGAACCCTGCATTTCTGGGAAAGAGACTCATATTGGGTAAGAGGAGGTGAGATGGAATAAATCACATAATGGAGAAGTTTGTTCACCAGCATACCATCCTTCTTTCCTTTCCTCTTCTCCCTTCTCCCACTGCTACCATAAAGCAGAGAATTGAGTTACTAGCCTAACATTGATATAGAGGAAGCATTGAAAAGTAAAGAGACAGGATGAAACCAGTTACTCTGAGCCTAACAGTTTCCAAGGAAAAAGACAGCATGGATCCTAAGTTAAGAAACTTACAATCAAGCTGGGAAGGCAGGACTAGTGTGTCTAATATTCAACTAGTCCAGCCTTGTAACCCAGGTGTTTGCTGGGACCTCTGGCCCCATGGCTGGAATCGCCCTCCCCGCCTCCCTCCCCTGCCCCCCATATGCAGAGCTGGTTGAACCTGAAACCCCTTCTCATGCCTTCTGCAAATAAATCCTCGTGGGTTTGTATCTTTCACGGTCACTCTCAGTAGCATCAGCATCCATGTGTGTTGCTTCTATTTTTCCCCCTTGATAATCTAGATCCAAATCTCTATCCCTTCACCAATTCCCATGAAATACACACGCTCTCCACACGTTCTATGATTTAATTTTCTGAGGATCCTGAAGAATGATCACGTTGGGCCATGCACAACCTTCTTCTGCTCCACTGCTGTGCTCTCCCCTTTCTCCTCCTTGTTTCTCCTTTTCTGAATTGCTTGCAAGAGCCTCATAGCCTGCCCCCTTCTTAACATAGACCAATTCAGTCCCCCCTCAATCCTCGCCCCAAACTGTCATACTAAAAGAAATCAAGCTGATGGCGAACAAATGGGAAGATGCTGTTTCTTAAAGACAGTTAAGCTTATAAGTAATAAACAAACCAAAATTTCTCTCACACAGAATACACATAAGAGACAAACCAAAGCAGAAAAATAAATGTGTTTCAGGCAGCATGGTAAAAGCTGGGGATATAAGGGCTACAGTAGTTCAGAGAAGAAAAAGATCAATCAAGAAGGGTTTTAATGGAGGAGATAGATCTCGAATTGGACCCTGGAGAAAGGCTAGAATTAGTATTGCAGGGAGAGGAGGCAGGAGGTCATTCAAGGTAAGGAAATGACTGTTAGAAAACCACAGAGGAAAGAATGAGCCTAGCGTCTGGGAGAAGGCAGCTCTCCACTGAGAATTTAGAAGCAAGATAAGGCCGACCGGGTGCTGGAAATGCTGGACTGTGGGACTCAAGGGTTTGGACTTAATTCAATAAAAATCAAAAGAAGCACTAACAAATACACTTCGGAAAGCAGGGGATGAGGGAAGCTCTGAGGGCATATCTCAGGAACAAGGACCTGGGATTCGAATACCATCAGAACTCTCTCTCTCTTCCTGATCTCTGCCTCTTCCTTTATTATTATTTTTTTTTCCTTTTCACGAGCTTGCATGTCGTCCTTGTGCAGGGGCCATGCTAATCTTCCCGGTGTCGTTCCAATTTTAGTACATGTGCTGCCGAAGCAAGTACGTTGCTTCCTTCTATAGGTTGGCTTCTTCTCCTGAAAATTCAGCTTCCTCTACCCAGGGACTGTGGTGATTCAGCAGATTCCCAGCTCACCATCCATGGAGAAAAGGCTCTCACCTCTTGCTCCAGCTCCAAATATCCAAGAGAAAGATGTGCATTGGCTTGAATCCAGTACCCAGGCCTAGAGCCAGCTCTGTGGTCAGGAAGGTCCGGTTGTGGAAGAAAGAGGCAGTTTCTAATGGACCACACGATGAAGCAAGGCCAGCTTTGGGAAGTAGAGGATAGAGGGAGTAAAGGAGGCGATGGTGAGCGGACGTCCCCCCTAGGACAGAGGTGTGAGTGAGGGAGCAACTCCAGTTTGTCCTAAGATTGAACTGACTCACTGGAAATTCTTGTGTCAAGAAAACTGATTTATTTTTAGCAAGCACCTATGAATAACCTACTATTCTTAAGTTTCTATTATATCTCTCATTTTTTTCTCACTTTATTCTAACGTAAGCCATGGCCAGTATTTCGCATCCTTCTAAGCCCTTTTAAATTCTTTTTGGAAAAATAGAAAAAAATTAAAGTCAACTACTTAACAACTGTTATAAAGCAATTGTTATGTTCAGACATAGTTCCAGTTTTCAAAGAGCTCTTCATCCAGGGGTAAATATACCATGTCCACGAATAGCTGTTGCAACGAATAGAAAATGATAAATGCCCTAAAGAGGTATCGATACAATGTGTTGAGTTCAGTTTATCGTACTGTAATTAAGAGTATCGTTGAACCTATACGTTACAGTGGAGTGGAATAGGTTAACTTTAGACCTGAAGACAGGGTATGAAAGCTTTCTACAGAAAGAGCAGCTGGAGACTGGATTCGCGCGGGAGTAGTAAAGAACGGAATGTGTCGAGCAAACAGTTTGAACCTGGCCCTAGAAGGGAGTGGGTCGAGAGAAGAGGAAGCCTTCCAATCTGTACCCCGCAGTCAGGTAGCCTTGGGAAGGTGGCGAAAGGATACAGCTGGAGTTCTGCGTAGAAAAATGTATGGGCCTTTGTGACCGGGCAGTGGAGGAGCATCTAAGAGGAGCAAGTGAAAGAGACAGAGAGAGGCTGAGGCTGAGGGAGCCGCGGAAGGAGCAGCATCCTGGGACCGACACGCAGCGCGTAGGAAAGATCGCCCTCCCCTGAGCCGTGAGCACCGTCCCCTCCTGGAGGTCCCAGCTGCTACCCCTGACCTCCTACGAGAGAAGGTGACAGTCATCTCCTCCCACACCAACCCTCGTCAGGGTTGCCGGTGCCTCTGCGTGGCTCGGAGAACCCGCAAGTCATGAACTCTTAGAGTCCCGCACGGTGCCCTTGAGAGAGGCCCTTGCCCCTTAAGATACAGGTGAGCGTTGTTCACACCCACAACCCACTTTTTGTACAAATCCTAAGACTTTTGCACAATCCATACTGGGCATGTTTCCCTTGGTTCCAAGATGCCATTTCCTCTGAACTGAGCAACCTTCCTTGTGGGTGGTCCCTGTGCCCCATCGCGGCAGCGCCTCCAGGGAACTGGTCCCTTTCCTGAGCAGCTGGCTGTTCCCTAACTGCTCTCCCAGGGTGTCGGTGTTGACAGTGGACTTTATGGAAGGTTTGGGGAAATGGAAGGGGGTTCATTGAACAGGAAACAGATTCAAGTGGGGGCTTAGACTTATCTGTGTCTTAAAAGCCTTGAACCATCTCACAACTAAGGATTTTTCGGAGGCTACTTCACCTCGCGGTAGTACCCAGCCTGCACTATCTAGAAAGCTCCTCCCACCCCATCCCATATTTCCTTTTTCACTTGTCCCATTCAGAATGTCCCACTAAGATTTTTAAACTCTTTCCACCTGTCATGTAGAGTGATGTTTCTCAATCAAGGATGATTTTGCTCCCCAGGGGTGACAGGGCAATGTCTGCAGACATTTTTTGTTTTCACAGCTTGGGCGGGGCGTGGGGGGGTGCAGGCGGGGAGCAGGGGGGGTCTAATATTGCACAATTACCTAGTGTGCTGAGGCTGGGGATGCTGCTAAACATCCTACCAAGCACAGGAAAGCCCACCCCAACAAAGACTTCGATGGACCAAAATGCCAACAGAGCAAAAAACTTGAGAAACCATGACCAGCAGCGTCATCTCTCTTGAGCCTCCATGCTTCCTGACTCCAAGTGGACACCTTTGTATGTCCATAAGCCATGAGCCGGCTCCCTCTGTTAAACTGAAGGGACCACCAATTCCTGCTGTGGCACATAGGAGCAAGAGACCCTGAAACTTCCTCTAACACAAGCTGCCCTTCTCAGAAAAAAGTTATGGTTTTGAATAGAGTTTTTCCTTAATACATATAAAGTTCTCGTCCATACTCTACTTACTCTGCCAGAAGGAGACAGAGGGAAAGAGAAGAATGTAAATAGTGTGGGTGATTCTGTCCCACGTCCCACTAGAGCATATGCCCCAGAGGAGCGCAGGGAGGGAGATGTGAATCTGATGTTCCTTCTCTGGGCCTCTGTTCCTGCATCGCTCTCCTAGTATGAGCATCTCACCATGCTGAGTGTGATTCAAGTGTTTAAAGATATATATTTTTTTGTACAACATGGCCCCTAAACACAAGCCAACTACTTCATCAGGTGCTTAACTGAGAAAACAGCAATCTGTTCCAAGGCTGGAGGAAAAGCTGGCTGAGTTGGATGGTATGTCAGCCTCAAACGTGCATACAAATGGCCATGTATATTGCACTTTAAGGGAGAATTATGGGATTTTTTTTCCCCTAGGAAATTTCTGACTTTATATGATTTTCCACCTTGTTCATCGACTCCAGAACAAAACTCTATGTAAAATGCAAGTCCACAGTGGGAGGGGGTGAGTAGAGGTGTTGGAATAGAGCTTTGATGAGACTTAGTGGCTGGGATGGTGCAAAGAAAGAGAAAAGAAGAAATGGTGAGCAAAGATCAGAGAGGCTAAGAAGACAAAGTGAGCATGTAGCCCCTCTATCCATTTTCAGGGACATCTACCAGTATTTTGATTAATAAGGTATTTGACAATTGAAGGGAAGTGTTTACTAATTTCACTATAAAAGGGATGCTGTGCCACAGAGAACTTAGTTTGTTGCAATACTCATATTTTAAAGACATTACCATGCAATGTAGAACCAGGGTCTGCAAACTTACAAGGTAATATCTGCTGAATTTTTAATTTTCCTTTTTTGTGTGCCTAATGTAAAATTTTGCCATATTTACCTTTTGATTGAATAAGTTATGTATTAGCTTGCGTTTTTTTTCTTTAATTTAAAAAGCCACCAAGTATATGTCATAAACTCTAAACAATGTGTCTAAATATTAAATAGCAGGTAACAATGGCAACTCTTGCAGGTGTGCCTTTGAAGTGGACCTTTATATTGAGGGTGCCAGTGGCTTTGTGTGTGTGCAAACAGAAAGGCTGAAAAATAGGTGGTCACCGAGTCTCTGTGTTTTTGCTGGGGCTCATTTGGCCAATGGCCCACCCTCGATAATTTGAAATAGAGACTATCCTTCTAATTGTTAAGATGAGATGGGGAAAAGGAAAATTAACTCATCAATATTGCATGGGTCAAAATTTTATGCAAGATTTTGAAATATAAATTGTATAATAATCATTTCAGAAATTCCCATTTTAATTAAATACAATATTTTTAAAATTGTGCTATGGTGCATGGCATAGCCTTTCTAACTTGGGAACCTTCTGAATAATGCACTAAATAAAGGGAAAATTGTTCTCTACTAAGTACTACTTTCAAGACATAAAATTTTATAATGATTTTCTTTTATTTGGGCACAAATTAAGGATATGGATCCTTTCTCTGGGCCAAACTGCTACTCTTTATTGTCAAGACTTTAGTCCAGTACTCCTGTAAAGTCAACTTTATGAAAAGCAGTCTGGAGTGATGAATCACAGAAATTAAATACTGGATTGGAAATACTGGAATATTGGAAAAAGTGTAGAGGTAGAAGAGAGTCTCCTAATAAGTTTTAGTTGACTCACACAATAACACTGTTAGAAAGAAAGTATTATTTGGATTCCAAAGAATGAACATATTAAAGTCAAAGTTATAAATGTCTGAGACAGAATTTGAACCTGGGCCGGTGGCATTCTACAGTCCCTGCCCTTCTCTCTACATTCTGCTCTGCCACCTAAATCCACAGTGAATTCAGTAATACTGTTTCCTAGTCTAACTACATTCAAACGTCACTATAATACTATTCACTGTGGATTTATATTCTGTCCAGATATTTCTATTCTGTACTATCTAAATTAATGGGGCAATACACCCAAATATCATGGAGTGTACATAATTAAGACTTATTTCTCACCTTATAGTCCAGTGCAGTTCCAGCTACTCCCCTCAGTAGCTTTCCTCCAACAAGTGACTCTGGGATCCAGTCTCCTCTCTAATCTTGAGACCCCCCAGGCATTCATGGTAAGGAAAGCAAAAGTTTAGACAGTCCCTTGGGGTGGCGGGGTGGGGGCATAGCCGTGAAGCCTCTCACATCCACTACACTAGGGTCCAGACCCTTAAATGTAAGGGTGGCTGAGATGCAGCGCTTTCCTGTGTGCTCAGCAAGAGAAACACAAAATCGAATTTGGGGAACCCATAGCATTGTCTCTTAAATTTCATTTAAAGGAATTTACTTCTTCAAGTAGCAAAAAGATCTTATAAATGTTATAAATAATTATGTAAATGCCCTGAGCACTAGGTTACAGCAGGGGGAGTGGAACTGTGCCACAAGAGGAGCATGTTTTGCAATGGGAGGCTTGAGACAGAAGAAGAAATTGCACCTGAATATTAGTGGAAGGAGGCCAGGCAGACAGTCCTGAATATCCAAGAGCCCAGTAAGAAAGATACAAAAAAGGGAGAGGTGATCCAACAGGGTCAGATGCCAAGTACATGGAGGGCAGGAAGGCGGGAAGGGATATGGGTAGAGAGATGGGTAGAGGAAATGGTTTAGAATTAAGGGTATGTAAAAAT